GCTTTTTTTTGCCGCCACATCACATTGTTGGCTCATGTTTAACTTGTTGTCCATGAGGACTCCAAGATCTTTGAGAGATATGGATCACTCGGCACAAATCCCCAATATGCCCAAATGTGAACGTTGTGGAGTTTGGGAAAATAAGATCTTCTAGTTCAGTGGTTCTCAACCTTTCTAATGCAGAAGGAGGTGAGGGAAGGGCGGGTGGCTTCGCGCGTGATCTAGGCCCCCGCAGAGCCACTCACCCGTCGCTCGCCTCCTTCTGCCATCAGAAGGAGGCAAGGGACAGGCGGATGGCTTCGCGCGCAGCCTAAGTGCCCACCACTCGCCTCCTTCCGCCATCAGAAGGAGACGAGGGATGGGCGGATGGCTCCATGGACGGCTAGGCATTCAGAACTGCAGGAAGAAGTTTACTCACCCTTCAGCCCAGAACAGTCTTCAAGAAATGGTGAGTCTTCTTCCTGCACGCCTTTTCGTCCAAAGCTCCTCCTCCTGACTACCACAGATCTCTGGGAAGATCAGGAGGAAGAGCCTACCAGGAGTGCCATTGGCTCAGGGGTCGGTTGCCATTTTGGAGGGGGCATGGTCAGCCAATGCGGCTTCGCAACCCGCAGAAAATGGCCAAACGACCCCTCGAGGGGTCGCAACCCCTAGGTTGAGAACCGCTACACTACCGTCTCAAGTGCGGTTGGTGGGGACGAGAGAGAGGGCCTTCTCGGTGGTGGCCCCCCGCCTCTGGAACGTCCTTCCAAGGGAAAAAAGACCGGCCCCATCCCTCCCCTCATTTCGTAAGAGCTTGAAGATCTGGTGGTTTCAACAAGCCTTTGAAAGAGACCAGTTCTAACTCGGCCCTACACGTTGTCGAATACGGCCTTATTCTTGCTACCAATTACCCAGATCATTTCGTCTATTCGGCCCCGGAATGAACAGCCACAGACCCGTACCGAATATTATTGTTGCCTGACATAGTATTCTTTTAATATGTGTGTTATGGCAACCATTTTTATGTTTATATTTTGTTTTGTTAATCTTACGGCTATGTTGTTTTTTACTTTGTATGTTTTGTGATGTTACCTGGGAACCGCTCTGAGTCCCCTCGGGGAGATGGA